TTGAATTTCATTCCCCTAGAATCAAAGAATGATAATGGGTGGGGATAAAAAAAATACGTCATTGCCACCGTCTCATCTAACTTTTATCCCACTTCAACTTGTCTCTATTTTTTTTCTTTTAATAAATATAATAAAGACGGTTTTTTTTTTCGAATTTAAAGACTATTACATACTACAATTTGCCTAGAATACATAATACCTAAATGTATATATATTTTCAGAAGATAAAATTACATAACCAAGGGGTATACAATAAAGCTCTAAATTTTTTAAATTCTTTCCAAGGCAGTTTGTAACGTTATTTACTTTCTTATGAGCTATGCTTGACTCGTAGATTTTCTACGCATTAATAACCTATTACTAATAATAAAAATAATATTAATATAATGAAGGTTATGATTAATATCGAACATAGATAATACTATATCTTTAACATCAATTTTAACTTTTACAAGGTGGAGAGTATTTGATTCTTGTACCAAGTGAATGTCTATTTTAAGGTTAGGATTTCGATATAGGAATCAATCCAATTGGGTAATTCCTTGGTAAAGCTTCCATGATATGCTCTATTCATTTTTTTTTATTTTTCATTTGGTTTTCGATACCCGTATTGAAGTTCAACTAATTCGGATTCATCCTGCGTAAGTCTCTATTTAGGAGAAAGCGCTCCTATCGAGAATGTTAGTGAAAACTTACAAGATAACAAAAATACAAGATTACAATTGAAAATAAAAATGAAGAAATAAATCTCTTCAGGCTGAGGCGCGGATATCACGCTCTCTTTAAGGAGATTCAAGCCCACTGCAACAAATGTTTTCACCGGTCCAGCAATAGTCCTCTTGACTTGTCCCCTCCAGGATACAACAGCCTTCACAAAGTATAACTCAACAACTCTGGACAAGAGTTGAGTCCAAAGCTCCACAAAAGAAATACCTCCCTTCAACTAATAAGAACTATCTTTTTGACAAACCTTATGCACTCTATATTTTATTGTGTATTGTGTGTTCCAAACCAAATGAAAACCATCACTATTTATACTAGAAGAAGTCTTCCTAGCAATGAATAGGAAGATGAATGGTGTAGTAAATAGTGAAGATAAATGATTTAGGGGTTACATATGTTATAGAATAAAGGTGAATAAGTAAATGAGATAAAAGCTATCAGCCACTAACGGCTTAGACCTTAGTTGCTGCACCAGAAGTTTGTAACATATGCACTTACTGCCAATGGAGTAATGCAGTATAGTAATGTAGCAATCATGACATTTCAACGGTTGCAAACTGAAAAGTCACTAAAGATTGACAGCAACGGTCGACACTAAGCCTTAGCAAATTAATATACAAAACATTAATATTAAAATGCTAATAAACCAACAGAGAATTTTTTTATATCCAGGACTTGAACCCAAAACTTTTAATTAAGGAAAGAGCTACCTCCCGCTGCACCGTATTTGTTAGTTTATACATAGTAAAAAATATGAGTTAATATCTCATACGGTCACTCAACTTTGAATAGTTAACTTAGAAAGTGACTCAACTTTGAGTAGTTTACTTAGAAAATCACTCAATTTTATTTTACAACTCAAAAGTCACTCAACTATTGATATTTAACTTAGAAAGTCATCCAACTAATTTAAATAATTTCTTCATTAAATTTTGTTGAAATACAATTTTGTTTAAACTATTTTTAAAAAATAAATAAAAAATGTTCAGTTTAATTATTTTGTTAAACTTTGTTGAAATACAATTTTTTTTAAAATAATAAAAGTTTGCTACTGTGCGTCTTTTTTATCTTTTTGATTACTCCTTTTAATTTAATAAAAGATTGTTAAACGTACCATAGCAATTGACAAATTAAAATTAAAATGTACTGTAGCATTGCTATTAATTTAATAAGAAAATAATAAAAGATTGCTACTATTTTAAACGTACAGTAGCAATTGAGAAAAAAACTTGCTATTGTCTTACTAAAATTAAATATGCTGAAAAATGCTACTGTACGTTTTTTAAAAAAAATTGTAAATAAATAATTGAAGTAGGTCAATAAGATAATTAAAATAAATATTTTATTAATTCTTAAAACTAATTTAAAAATAAAATTTAGACTTCAACAAAATTTAATAAACAAATCATTTAAGTTTGTTGGGTGACTTTCTAAGTAAAATATCAATAGTTGAGTGACTTTCTAAGTGAAATATCAATAGTTGAATGACTTTCTAAGTGAGATATCAATAGTTAAGTGACTTTTGAGTTATAAAATAAAATTGAGTGACTTTCTAAGTGAACTATGCAAAGTTGAATGATCATTTGAGATATTATCTCTAAAAAATATTGAGTTGTTTAACAGTTCTCACTTAATATAAGTTCTATATGATCAATGAGTTTTAATCTTATTATATGTCAAGGATTTACTTAACAAATCTTCAAGAAAGAAAGTATTTGATTGTCAAAAAGAGTATGATCATATTTCAATCTCTTTTTGAATATTTTATGAATTTATGAAATTTTTGAGATATATCTTCAAAGAAATATATATATTTATATAGACATGAAATAAAATTTAAAATAGAATAGTCTCCGACCATCTTAACCAAAATATGATCTCCAACTTACGACTTACATTTTCCTTTTTTTTCATTACATCAAATATGTGTATGTTCAACAATTTCAAAACCGAGATACGTTTATTGCTGGGTTCTGGACTGGCGAATTTACCTATGGGCTTTCGTTCGGGTTAAAACAAAACCAAAAAGGAAAAAAACCCGAGAATATTCCATCGAACAATTAGGGTTCACTGTGTAAAGTGCCACCGACCCGTTACCGTATAAATACCCCTTCTCCGTCTTTTCACCAAAGTGCCGCGTACTGTTATTTGCTAATCCACAGACCATACTTGAGCAAACATCAAAGAAGCAAAAATGGAGCAGACTTTCATCATGATCAAGCCTGACGGTGTCCAACGTGGCCTGGTTCGTCTTCCTAAATCTTGTTTCTTTTAGATCTATCCCTTTGAGCTTTGATTCAGTGTGTATTTTTGTTTAATAAATGTTATATATTGTCAATTTTGTATCTTAGTTTACTAAATCCTTGATACGGCAGTTTTTTTTTTCTTACTGTGCACTCATTTGAATGTTATGTTTCAGGTTGGTGAGATTATCGGCAGATTTGAGAAGAAAGGATTCTCTTTGAAAGGTAAAATTTAATCAATTATTACAATGTATGATTAATTTAGTACTCGATTTATTTAGTGTCCCAATTACATCACAAAAATCTTATGATTAGTCAGGACCCACACTGCAATGATTTTTCAGTTGGAGATTTGTTTCTTTTACATTAGAGTAATATGTATTGGAACAGTCTAGTATGTTTCCTTTGCCTCCTTGCGTAATTATTATTGCTCTTTGCAAATGCCACATTATCCAGCTAATGTGTCATTGTTACCGTTAAAAGAATTCTTTCTGTAGTGTAGTATTTTGAATTTATTTTGACTGTAATTGTTGATTTGGTTGTGATTTTTTACTTTGCATGTATAAAGGCTTGAAGCTCATCACTGTGGACCGTGCCTTTGCTGAGAAGCATTACGCTGACTTGTCTGCTAAGCCTTTCTTTAATGGGCTTGTTGAGTATATTGTTTCTGGACCTGTTGTTGCTATGGTCTGGGAGGGTAAGGGTGTAGTTGCCACTGGCAGGAAGATCATTGGAGCAACCAACCCCTTGGAGTCAGCTGCTGGTACCATCCGTGGTGATTTTGCTATTGATATTGGCAGGTAAAACATCTGTGTATATGAATAAACTATACTAATTCAAGATATACTTGTTATGTTAATGTTTATTTCCCTTCTATGTAATAGAAGCCTGGTGATGTTACTATTTTTCAGTTCACTGTTGTTTTTGCTTATTGCCCCTACCTTAACCATAGTGCTGAAGTCTAAGACCCCCAACCTGTTTGATTACAGGAATGTTATTCATGGAAGTGATGCTGTTGAGAGTGCTAGGAAGGAGATTGCTCTTTGGTTCCCCGAAGGAATTGCAGAGTGGGAGAGCAGCCTTCACTCATGGATCTATGAATAGAAAAGTTTTATGAATTTAGAACTCTCTCTATGGTCTTGCCTGTTTTGTTTTAACTTATGAATTTTGTATGTCATTTGAGTCCAGAAGTTTGGTATTTTGAGACTTAATGATGTGATATTTGATCATTTTGTTTATGTGTTGCACTTTCAAGTAATTGTGAGCTTTCATCATTTGTTTGCTTCACATTTTTCTTTATTCTTGTTAAAAGAAAAAAGCATCTTAAAATTTTGTTTCAAAAACCAGTGTAACGTTAAACAATGTTCCTTAACTCTATGCTGTGGCTATAAATGGTAGTTGGCAACATGTTTGTGTGCAATATGCACTAAGATTTGATAACTTTAGTGCTTGTGGATGTGAGTTTTGGTTCATAATCATATTGTTGCTGCAATCGACTTTGGTCTGAAAGAAGGTCAGTATTTTGGAGCTTGGTCTCTGCTAGCACAAAAACCAGTGTGAAGTTTGGCCTATTTATTTCTTGTTAGGTGTACACTGAAAATAGCCAATATAAATAAAATAGAAAATGAAGGCGTGGAATAACTGCCACAGTTGAAATGTAGAATTCTTGCACTTAAGAATTGTCCATAGTTCAGGCTGTCGGTACTTGTTCTCACTGCTCATAGGCTGGCAAGTACACATCAGCCGGTTTATGCTTGTTACTGTATGCTGAGTAATGCGCACTAATTTGGTGCTATGATACAAAAGACCCAGGTTGTGTTGAGGTGACTGCTTAATCAACAGATGTTGTGAGTTGACTTGACACTAACAATCTTCGGTTAGGGAACACTCTGTTTTGGGCAAGTGTACATCCCAAGATGGATCCTCCTTTTGACATGACCTCACAAGTCACAAGTGGGTCGGAAGGCAACCATAGAAGCCGTTCAAATTTAATTAGATTCCAACAGGATTCAAGATATAAGATGAATATAGGTCACGTTGATATCACAATCTCTTTCAAGGATCAGTCAGTTTACACGGACACGTCTTGGTCTAAAGTCTTACAAAGTCTTGTTTATAGACAGACTATTGATGGTTACCACCTTACGAGTTAATTAAAGAGAAAGGTAGTCTCTGAAGGCAATCTTTGAATTCCTACCATCACTACTGAGACCGATCATCAGGTGTGACCCTTTCCAAATTCAAGAAACAAGGGAATAACATTGTACTTGCTCTAACATTAATCCCCATTTTCCCTATCCGCTGACTTTTACAAAGTAACACCCACCCATCAAAAGCTACTACGTAACAACACCACCAATAAATGCCACAAAACATGCATACGGAAGCCATATTCTCATTTTCTTAAAAGTCATGCCTACAAACACTATCGACTAAGAAGGTTGTATGATGGTAAATCTTCTAGCCGTGTAACGTCTTCTTGCAGAAGCTCCTCTTCTAGTTGACGACGAGTAGCCTTCATGACCGCCTGCAAGAACATAGCATATCTAAAATCAGGACTCTAAATTCACATGTAGTGTACTACCAAGTAGTGTGATAGCCATAGTGAATTTCTCTGATTGAACCCAATACCAACTAGATAAATCCACCAATAAAGAGTCACAACAAACATGTTACTCAGAAACCACAATCGTCAGTAAAAGCAAAATTGCAGGCTGCTCTGTTACCAAGGATTTCACATCTCTTTGATATTAAGATAATGCTAGCCAAAGTGAAACAATTAAGAAAGCATTTAAGTGAAAGAGACATGAAAACTTTTTCAAATGCAAAAGAACCGGATTAGGTAGCAGCAGAATTTGATCATTCCATATCCATAACTGAATATCAGTAAGCTGAAAATACATACATTGAAGTCCATATATGATGCGCGCATGGCAAGCCACTGATTATCCATCAGCTTAAATGTGATGCAATATAGCAGATCAAATGCTGATTCATTTTCTGTAAAAAGGAAACAACTTTGCTTAGAAGAGCAAAGGATAAATGCAGATGAAAGTACGACTTCACATTTGTGAAGGACTAAATGGAGATTCACTGACTTCTCTTATTTAACACAGAAGAGAAGTAGAAACAAAAAGACACATCTACACGCAGTAATGAATGCATCAAAATGAAAGAGAAATTAGCAGCACTTTACGAAAACCTGAAAGTAGAGACAGATCTCAAAAAAAATGTACCTGCAAGAAACTTCAAGAAAGTAGCTCCAACCAGATTTCTAGGTTTTACTGCAGAGATAAAAACACAATTAATTACGTATATCAAAACAAGTTTGCAGGGAGAATTAAGCATCTTTGGTTGGACTATATACTTGTGCATGAGAGACTCTGTATTGATTGTTAGAAACTCAAATCTCATTTTTCATTAGAAGGGCCTACTTAAAAGCATATAGTCTGGAATTTTGTCGAGACTTCACAACTTTGAGTATATAAAAGAGTGTAGATGTGGTACACGTACAAGCTTCCAGATCGAGCATCTGGATAAGCATAAATGTGATATTGACGCCAGCAACAGCGAATGGGTATTCCCAAATTGCTCTATCACCTTCCTGCTTTCGGAGCAGATCCTGGAAAGATTTCTGCAAATAAAATTACGAAAAGAGAATAAATAGATGAATCTAGAACTTTATACTGCTTGTACGTCGCATAAGCATTCTATTGGTTAACTGAAACTTACTTCTGAACAATCTGTCATTCACAGATTTCCAATTATTTCACATAAAATCAAGATAATAATGTGCACTTCTTTAGATAATTGTTGGTGTGGTAAAAACAGAAATTGCTGAATTTTTGTTCATGGATGTGTTATAGTATGCTCTCGTGAATCTTTCTCCAAGTTAACACAAACCCTTTGTTTTGCTAATAGTAGACACTCAAATATTTCACATAAAATGACAAGATACAGAGTGGGACAGATCAGTTTTGTTGATTCATAGATGCCTGAATAATAGGACCACATTTCAAATTTAATTGTACAAATTTGAAGGCCTCATATTCACCTGAGCAAGTTATTCAAAGGGAGAATAAAATTTGCAATTTAGGCAGAATTATTTTAAGAAATTCATCGAACATCAAGCCAATCTTTTCTGAAAAGTATTTAATAGATCTATCAAAGTTCATTATGCCGATCATCCATTCCGTGATTTTCTTCAAGGCTTACCATAGAGAAAAGTAATTGAAAAACACTTAACTTCTAAATTAAATGATTATTGATTAAGACAAATATCTGTACCTTCTCCTGAATGTAACTTTTCTAGTGAGGATACATACGATATATAAACCACTTACGTCATCATGTCACACAATCCAACATCACAAAACCAATTCAGATTTGACATCCAAGGCATAATTTTGTGCTAACTTTGAGGGTCTCCAAATACACAACTTTCCAACTAAATATATATGATCCAGCAAAAGTTAGGGAGTGGGAAAATATTGCTGCACATAGATTTGTTTTTTATTTATGGTACCCCCACTCCGAACCCCACCCACCCACCCACCCACACAAACACCAAAAAAAAAAAAAACAAGGAGAACAACAGCTTTTCCCCCTTCGCTCCCTTGGTGATTTGAAACCCCAACCTTATGGTTGGAGGATAGGGCCCTTTCACAAGACTATCCCTCCCTTGACGCGCATGAAGATTAGTGATGTCATAGTCTGATTAACAAACATTTATCCAATTTTACAAGAAACAAAGAGATACTAGATGACAATAAAGCCCTTTTTTGTTTTTTCATTCTTGGTCAACCAAGTTATAAACCTTTTTTCCTTCTTGGTCATCCAAGTTCTAAAGCATTGTGCCTGATTTATTCCATTAAAGTACATTTCACCCTTAAACACTAAATAATTAATGCCAGAAATACTTTTCCAGCAGTTTTTTATATGCTGCTATCACCGAGAGATGATGACTAGGTGCCTACTTAGATTGTGTAGAATATCATAAAGAAATCCAGAGATAATCATCACATCATTAAGTATGCACCTACCATAACCCATCCCCACCCCCATCCCCCAGCAACTACCACAATTTCTGGGTTGAGCAAGCAATTAAAAAACCATATGTTTCAATGCATAGGGGAAGGAAAAGGCGTGTGGCAGACGTAGTGAAGTAATTCAGGCGTAACATAACAATTTGAATAGCTACAATCTCAGGATGCAAATTCCCAATACCTGCTTAGAAAAAAATAACCTAGAACTGTCAGGTCTCCCATCACACAAAATAACCGCCAATTTTGACACTAAAAGTTATCTTTTCCTAGTAATGTTCTCATTCTTACCAGTATGCATACATATGCTTAGAAGGTTTGACATATCATTCTCCATAAAAAGAGTGAGGAAAGAGGACATACCGGGAAATTCCTCGCAAAATATAACAAGTTCTCCAGTGATATAAATCCACCACCCCTACAGAATCAATCAAACAACTTAAAACCAACATAAGATTGCAATAGGCAGAAAGGCAAATTATCAGAAAGATGTTAATAAGCCTGAAAATATCCTCCTTTTTTCTTCATTTAAATTTTGGGCGGAGTGAGGTGCTGATGTACCTAAAGTCAGTAGACGGATCTTTTCCTTGCCAGCCCATTTCCTTCCACTGTTCAGATATCAAACCACGAAGTTGTTCCTCAGGAAAGGCAACTTTCCACAAAGCTTTTAAAGCTTCCTTTAGGTCAAAACAAAGAAAAATCTTGAGAAACAAGAATGTCATACCTGAATGAAATGTCAAAATCTTACAGATATTAAGCTATTACAAACAACTAAGATGTCTTGCACAGAAGGTACCTGATGTTCAGGGATTAAACTATCATATGCAACATCTATACGGTTTTGTAGCCTTAGCAAACATTCCTCCTGAGATTAACAAAGTATGGAAAAAACATCATTAGCATCCAATATGTAGAAGCCATTCCATACTTCCTTACCATGGCTAAGCTAATTCTTGTGCATGACATTTCAAAAGAAGAAAACAAGAAATTTTGAAGAAGTGCGCAGACGCCAACTAGAGAGTTATTTGGAAATCTCATTAAAGTGGAAAGCCAGAAAATTTAGACAAATCACTTGTGCCTAAGACATGGCACAGTTAGAAATAAAAATCACAGCATATCCAGATGCACATGAGCACATTTGTCTACTCAACAAGAGAAGTAAGAACAACATTAAAAACACAAACTAGTACTGCACACAACAGGACTTCTATTATACTGCAGACTGAAATGCATACTACTACATTGTGTCTTATGACATTTTCAGTATTCAGCAAGCAGGAAATATAAACTTAATATAACCTCCACAAACATATTACCTGGGATGGAGTTAAATCAAATGATGGACGAGCATCGCTCTCCCTCCTTTGAACACAAACACATGAAAGGCCTCTGCCTAGCCATGCTGCTGATCCTGCCACAACCTCCGCTGTAACAAAATAAAATGATTGGCAAAAGAAAATGGAAATCCTGGATTTTCCAATAATGAAATGCCTCTATTATAAGTGAGACTGGAATGCAGATGCCAGATAAAGAAACACTTCTTTCTAGAAACATGTTCACATATGATGAGAAAAGTTTGGTCATTTTCGGGTATTATACTGTCAACATTAAACAATCCGACGAATATGCTCAATGCCTCAATTACATTATCAGGAAAGTATGATACAAATAAACTACAGCACATGACATGAAAATGGAAATAAACATAAAATGTGTTCTTATGATACAACCTAAGCATCATGGGCTGTAGTGATTCAACAGAAATTGTGAAGGACACTTCCTGCTTGGGTAGTGTTTTAGTGGCTACATAAGTATCCTTAAGCAGATCTGATTTAGTCAACAATCTTGATAGAGTAAGGAAGAAATGCATTCTACATGGATAAAATCAAGGCCATATTAGCAGACTGTTTCCTGCAAATATACGAGGCAAATAGGATTTTAAAATGTTTGTAAAACTAAAATCTAGTTGTACAATTCGATAAAGCTACATTGGAGATCAACTAATGGAATATATGGTTCCGGAAAAGGTGAAAAAAACAATATCCAATCAGTTCATGTTACCCAAAATGTGGATTCTAAAAAATGAGCTTACCCACAGATGAATATCAACTAGCTTCAAAGGTCTAGCTAGAGCTTGGTATACAACTTTTATATAACCATAAAGTTCTATTTTTTTTAAATAAGAAAAAGTTCTAATATCAACATCGAATAGAGCTGAAGTTCAGCACCTAATGATGAATTATAGAACTAGATATCTTTCTCCTACGGGAAAGCAAACACTAAAAACAGAACAGATTAATGGAGAATTCTAAGCATGATGAACCAAAATCATGGTAAGTAGAACACAAGAAGAAAAGTGGACCATCCTCTGATATAAATAGTTAAAGACAACATACTCTGTTAAGCCCCTACTTAACTTCATTAAAGATAAAAGATGTATCCAGCACCATTCCCAAAAAATTAATATGAATCACGTAACTGTACTAATATTTCCTAGTTATCTCTGTCCACTGAGAGAATATGCTGGATTGGTTCAGTCAATTAAAAGACACACTTCCTGCAATTCCTATGGAGAAAACTCAATAGTAGATCAACCAAAAGGCACAAGGCATAAATAGCAGAGAGATCTATAGCCATGTGACAGCAGTAAATGGCTTTTCTTGGAAAAGAAATAGGCAACTATTTACAAGGATTCCATGCCCTATATATCTATATCTACAGAATAATAAATCACAATGCGTGAGCACAAACAACTGTATTTTCTCTCTCTCTCTCTCTTGTGCATGTGAGACACTGTGCAAAGGAAAAATCTATGTCAATACATTCTTCATAGATCAATTGAGAAGACTACGAAATGACATGACCCTCAGTAAAACAACTAGTTCACTTTACTCAAACATTAGGAAGCAGAAAAAACTGTAAACCATACTCAAAATATTTACAACTAGCAAGGTCATCCTTTCTAAGCAACTCCTCTAGCAACAAAACCATCCACCATGAGGTGAACCAATCAAAAATCAAAATCCATTTTACCCGAACTTACTTACAGTAACTCAGTTATATAAACAAAGTAATTATTTCTCCACAACCAATGTAATTGTTGTAAAACCTACACAAACTGAATAAAACCAAACTCCGTTACTAACATCTGATTCCTCTTAAGGTAGCCCAGACATGTTCAAAATATGCTCTGGGACAGCTTTATCTACAGAAAACTTCAGTACTGGTAAATCACAAAGTAACTCTATGAAACCGATCTTATCCAAACAAAATGCATGAATCTGTTAATTATCCAAACGGTAGGTACGACACCAAAACTTCAGGGAAAGAAAATGAATTAAGCAGCAGATGAAAACTCACCACACATGTCAATGCAAGTAGGCATGAATGCACCTAATTTTTCAATTCACAGATCCAAAACCTCAATTAATTTACTCCTGACATAGACGGAGACCAATCGGTAATACATACAGACAGAAATACACCGATAGTAACAGCAAAAACAGAGAGAGATAGAGACAGAGAGAGAAATATCGATATATAGAGAGAGAAATGAGCGAATGTTTGTACTGTTAGGTAAGGTAAAAAGGTAAATATACCAGAAGTTGTATGACAAGCATTGCCTCTTTCAATTCCTTGAGATATCCTCCTCACCGCCACGAACGATCCTCCTCTATCATCCATACTTTCAGCTAATTGAAAAACTATTCTCTACAATACTTGCATCACATTCAACCTCCTCTAAACAGCAACACACTCCAATGCTCCTCCGTCAATGAAAATGTAAGCCAAAAATCTCAATAACGAAGTTGAATTCCTTTTTTACAGAGAAATGCACAATTAATTGATCCTCCGGTGGAATCTCGAGATCTGCAATCGGAATACGAACGGCAGGAAAGGAGATCAACCACGCCAAAACCTCCGGTATATTGTGTATGCAGCTATATCTGAAGGTGAATGTTCAACATATATATATATAATATGATATAGAGAGAAAAGGAGAGTGGTGTGGGTATTCTCTTTTTCTCTCTCTATATGTGTTTCTCTATCTAGATATTCTACTCTGCAACTTCTTCGCTCCGAACAGATTTGTTAAACGGAGAAGAGGAGCGAAGAAGGGGTGGGTGGTTTTGGGGGGGTTGGGGTTATGTGAATGTGATATTATATAAGCTGTTGAGCAGTTTTGTTGAGTTGGGTGGCATTCGCGTCTGTTATGGTGGGGGTGGTAGTGGGGTGGGGTGGGGGAACGGCGATTATTGAGAAAAACGGTTACGGGCTTAAGTAATGTTTTTAATTTTTATTTTTTTTTGGTAACATTACCCTCTTTCCATTCCTATTTAATTGTCACCCTATTATGTTTCAGAGAAACTAGGTAACTTATCATTGTACTATTATTTAATGTTTTTTTAAGTCAAGTTTATAAATAAAAATAATTTAATTTATTTTAATTAATTAATTTAACCTATAAACATTAATAAATACTTTATTTATCCAATAATCGTTGTACACTATTAACTTTGCACACTTCTTAAGAAACTGTAAATAAAAGAGTAATTTTACTATATCACCCTTTGAATATAATAAATACAATGTCTTGAAAAATATAATAGGGAAATGACTATAATTAATGATAAAGGTAAATTAGGAACTAAGTGTAAAATTATTTCATTGATTTGATAAAATGGACAAATATAACATGACATCCCAAAATAGTATAGTGGACAATTATTGTTGGACGAATGGAGTAACTTAGTTTTTCTATGTTGGTCAAATGCATATTTTCTATGTTAATAACTCTCAACAATAAAATAGGAAAAATAATGACAAGTACTCTATCTATTCCGTATTACTTGAATTCTTTTTGGGTTTTTTATTGTTCAAAATAATTGAATTTTTCAAAGTTTAAGATGGATGTTTAAAAGTTTTCCATATTTATCCTTTCCTTTAATGAAGTTTGATAAAGGACAATAATGGCAAGTATGGTATAAACTATGTCCTTAAATGTATTTCTTAATAAGTTTGTATTGCCTCACAAATTCACTTAATATGGAATAGAAGGAATATTACTAAATATTTATATTTAATAGGAACAACATATAAATAAAAACGGAGGAAGTAATCGGAATATCAATATGAATTATTATCAATTTAAATACAGTAAAATAAGAAATTCGTAGCTGATTTACTATTTCCTTTGTCAAAGCTGGATATAAATTCTTAAATTGATACAGTAATGAAGGAATTGACATCATTTGAAAATTTGTACTTGATCAAAATATTTGGTCAGCTAATAATATTCTTTATTAAGCATTTTCTTAAAATAATTAAGACATTATTGTTATTAAATTTTTTTAATATGAAGATAGTGAAAGTTGAACCTACGCATTTCGTGTTGAAATTCTTATTAATATCATGAGGAATGCCTGGAAACAATATTATAAGTATAGATTGGGTAACTGTTTAATTCAAAAAGGATATAGTTGAATTTATCATGAGGTTAAATGATACACGAATTGATTTGACTTATAAAATAGAAATTAAGTAAGTTAATATATACGTTGTTTGGTGAATGTATACAAAGAATAATTTTATGATTAAACAAGCGGAAAAATCAGTAAAATTGAAGTGTCTCTTATTTCTTCTAACATGTCTGTCTCATGACATGTCTATCTCTTCTTTCTTCTAGCATGACTTCGGGCCATGAATTTCTACCTCTATTAACAGAAGCTGAGGTAACAATTCTGGAAGTGACTAGTATTGGATATGTAACGATTCTGGTTGCTCGTATCGATAATTCTTTAAAGATGACTTAATCCCAAATAAATTAGTCAATTCATTCTTTTATATTATTCTAATGTCAAATAATTTTATCCTGTACAACCATATATTCATGGGTAATTTTCCCCCCTACAAGAACCCACTAACATAGGCTCAAATTCAGTATTTATATACATAAAACATTATTTTATATGTATAAATAATTTATCTAAAATTTAATAATTTGAAAAAATTGTGATTTACAATTCATAAATTTGTTGGTCGTTGTGACAAGTTGGTAAAAAAAATATATATTTTATTTGAGATTTTAGTATTTGTTAAAAGTGCCCCTTATCCCGACACTCCTAATATTAGGTGGTTAGGCCTAAATTCAACTTATGCATTTTGACTTGGTTGTCGAAGTAGAGATGTTTTTAATTGCTCGTACTTTTTGGGGACTTATTGTTCACATCTTTTATTTTTAAAAAATTCTTAGATTCTTTCAAAGCTTTTTTTAATGACAAAAAGTTGTCACTTTGTTTAATTTAATAAAGGTGTAAATTTACGTATTTAAAAGAATTCAAGAATTGATCACAAATTGAGGTGAAAATTGCTTCCTTAGTTTGACTTGTATTTTGAAACTTCCATTCTTTTGGGAATGTGAGTATTTTATTAGTGTGTTAAAGTCTTGGTAATCCACTAAGAACGTGTTGTTATTCATATTTTATCTCTAAAATCCATAATTTATTTAGCTTTTTAAAATAATAATATGATATTTCAGATTTACTAGCCGATTAATTCAAATTCTGACATTATAAAATTTATTAAGGGGAAATTCGTTCTTTTATTAGAGGTTTTTTGATTCACAAAATTTAAATCTGAGACACCTGCTTAAGATGAATGTATATATCTCATTCATCCCCAAGACATCTACATAGTATATAAGTCATTATGGTTGATAACTAACTTAAGTATATAGTTATTATCATTTGAGAACCAATAAGTTTTGTTAGAAACACATGAGGACAATAATTTAAAGGTAGCTATTAGAGAATCTAGCAGAGGACCAGTGTTTTTGAGACTAATGAACACATATACAAGTGCATGAGCATGAGACATGAGGGATTGGAGAAATAAAATAAATTGGATCACATGGGATGTTGGTAGAGAGGGATCATAAACTTGATGGAAAATACTTCATTTAAATCACTTGTGACCCTACACTTTCTCTATATCATTTGTACTTGTGGGTTACACATATATTTTGTGATGAGTGATTAAAACTTCCAAATCAAATCAATGTAATATATGGCCTACAATATGCATGGGTTCATAAAAGTTTGTTAGTGTGATTAGATTGCTTAGCTTGGGAGGCAACTATACTATGCATTATTTAAGATGTTATATACATTATACTATAAGTGGTATGTAACGGGATATAATTGTATCGTATTGTTTTGTCATAGGTAAACTTATCAATTGGCTGAACAAAAGATCGACATGAGAAGTTGATGTTCTTGATACAGAATTTTGTAGATATATATATTTTTAAACAATTTTGTTAGGCGTTAACATGAGTAATAAAGTACATAAAGAAATTAATAATATCAAAATTTTAAAGCTATCAGTATATCGAACTTAAACTCGGATTGGATGATCAATAATGAACAACAAAGGGAGGAAAATATAATTAATTAATTGTTCAAATGTAACATATTGGAAATATATAGCTTTTGGTTTGGAGCTCTCATGATTTTTCATGTGCCAAGCATGTGTTGTGGTCCAATTGGCATCTTTTGTAGTCCTTTCTATTCCTTGCAGAGAAAATGACATAAATAGTCCTAACTATAGGAGTAGGTCTAAAATGGTCCTTTAACTATACACTTAACGAATTTAGTCCTTTAACTATTCAAAAACTTAACAACTTTGGTTCCTTAACTATACACTTATTGGTTTTAGTCACTTAACTATAAACTTACCGATTTTAGTCCTTTAAGTATTCAAAAACTTTTCAAGTTTGGTCTTTGTCCATTTTTTAAAATACAAATAGCTTAAGTTTATATTAACGGAAATTTTTGTAAAATTAAATCTTTAACCCATTTTTTAAGTTGTTTCTCTATCCTCGTCCTTTTTTCTTCAAACTACTCTTATGAAAAGAACAATAACGTCGACAATTCAAAATAAAATTAATGAGAAATGAAGATATAAGTCCTAATTTTATTTAATGGATGATAAAATTAAGCATATAATTATTGTTAATGACTTGAATCCGCACTTGAATAGGCTAATCAGTGCGAATTTTATTTAATTTACTCAAATTTCTTTACGTAAAATAAAATGAATAGACTAGTAAAATTGATCTATTTAAAAAAAATAAAAAAATTTGCAAATCTACCATTTTATAAATTTCAATTTCTGAAAAATTAAACAAATTTTGTTCAATGAAGTCGTTAGAGTACATTGGGATTTAACGGGTAATAATTTTTTTCTTTTTATAATAAAGTTTAGCATATTAAAGTCATTAGTAGCAATAATATGCTTCATTTTATCCTCTGTTGAATAAAATTATGACTTATATTTTCTTTCCTCGTTAATTTTATTTTAAATCTTTGAGGTTAAGATTCTTTGCACAAGGTTAATTTGAAGAAAAGGTAGCAGAGAGAGAGAGAGAAACAACAGAGAAAGTTGCTAAATGATTTAATTTCTCGAGGCATCGATTCCATTAATATAAACCGAAGCTATTTGTATTTAAAAAATGGACAAAGACCAAACCTGATAAGTTTTTTGAATATTTAAAGGACTAAAATCGGTAAGTTTAGAGTTAAGGGACTAAAACCGGTAAGTGTATAGTTAAGGGATCAAAATTGATAAGTTTTTAAATAGTTAGAGGACTAAATTCGTTAAGTGTATAGTTAAGGGACCATTTTAGACCTACTCCTATAGTTAAGAGACTATTTATGCCATTTTCTCATTCCTTTCACACCACTCTTCACTAGTTTCGTGCTTTTTTTTTAAAAAAAAATTATTATTATTATTATTTAGCAAAGAATAAAAAATATAAACTCGAGAAAAATTATACGTAATCTAACAAAAAAAATTATGGAACGAGATCGATGCATAATGAAATGGTGAGGGCGGGAGTGGGAGTGGGGGTTGGGGTGGTGGATCAAGGGTGCGGAGTTCGAGGGAATTGGGGGTGTTGGAAGGTGAGGAAGAGATAATTAGCGTGAAATTCTATTTATAAAACTTCTTTTTCTCACAACAACTAAACAAGTCATATACTTTTTAAAAAGTTTTTTTTTTGGAAGATTCCTCATTAACAAACTTGTCAAGTTTGAGGCAATTATGATCGAATAGGTGAAATGAGAGACAATTTTAACT